ATGGGGAGGTCAGAGCTTAAATTCCATTCTAAGGTCCTGGGGAGCCCCCACTCTGTCAGGGTCCATTGCTCTGTACCAGGAAAGCAGCCCCAGTTCTGGATGATGGAACATGATCTCCTTTTTAGGCTAGTTTGTCACAATTTCACATGAAGAATAATTCATAAATGTTTATACAATGCATTTCATAGAGACTGAGGGGCAGTCTGATGGACCAGTGCACCAGGTAACACCCAGGTCAGAACAGGTGCTTTTTGGATTGACCAGCTATCCCCAAGCCTTGTCCTCTACCTGTGTACCACCAGTAATCATCGGCTTATTTGCAATGATGTGAACACCATGAATTTCCAGGATGCCAGTAAGGAGGCTATCCCTGCCCTCCTCAACACATGAGCAACTCAATTCCAAAATCCTATTTTAAGGCCACTTCTTGTATCAATCATTGTGCCAGTCAGGAGTCAACAGGAAATGAACTGTACAGTCAAAATGGATAATCTGAGATCAGTTTCAAAAAGAAGCTATTTGTAAAGTCAAGGGCAAGGTGGAGGGAAACCTAAAGGACGAATACTATACTCCAGGGCTAGTGACCTTGGGGAGCCATGACCACACAGAACCCTGAGGGAGCAATGAACAGAGGACTACAGGAGCCAGTAGGGGAAAGAGAAAGAGAGGCTACCTGAAAGCAGCTGCATCTTTGGTAGAGAAAACAAGAGGATAAATACACTGACCTCATTCACTTCCTGCTCTCTGATCTCCAGCTGGTTCCACCCAAGGCCCAAACCCAATAGCAAACCAGAGCCCATGGGGAGCACAGAGCCTGTTGGAGAGCAAGGGGAGGAGTTGTGGAGGAGAAGAAAGACAATATTAATATTAGCACATGAGCCCATCTAGTTTAAACAAACAGGGAATTTGCTGTCTCACATACCTGAAAATCCCAGCAATAAGACTAGAAGTAGGGGTTCACATGATGTCATTGGTGCCAGACCCTGGGAACGTTGACTCAACGAGAAGAGAAATAAAATCAAGTCAGGCAAAGATTTTACTGGGACCTCTTCTTGGGAGAAGAAACACAGCTGGGACAAGAAGGTATCTGCCTGGCCCACTGCAACAACAAAAGAAGCTAGTGTTATTGTATTGGCTGCTCTCAAGGGTGAAGTGTAAGACTTGCCCTGATGAGGAAAATGAAAGGACCCTGGCTCTAGTGCACCTAGTCCTGTTTGAGGATGGATCAATGAAGAACATTTCCTATCTGACAAACTGAAGGTTGAGGTGAGACCTTTTAAATGGCTGTCAGGTTATGAGCTAAGACCCAGGACATTTGCTCTTTGGCCCTGCGACTTCATCATCAGTATCTGGCTTGTTTCTCTTTGCAGTTCCCTACACAGTGTTGTCCCATCATGTTCCAAAGTGGCTACAGAACTTAACCTTTTTTTTTTCAAGTACAATTGGATCTGTCAAGGGCTGCAGTGTATCTTATTGACTCTGGCTGGGTTTCATGACATGCTTGAACCCATCAGAGAGCTCAGAAGAAGGAGAGGTGCTGCTTGATGTAGGTCTGTGTCGAAGCTGGGGCTGAGGAAAATTATGGTGGGAAACTCCAAGGAGGAAGAGGAATGCTGATGACTGGTACCAAATGCCACCACCCTACAGCTCCCTCCCCACATGGATGTGATGGAGCTTCTCAACCTTTCTGCACCTATGAAACACTGGAGGACCCTACTAAAGTGCAGAATCTGATCAGTTAGGTCTGGAGTAGAACCAAAGAGTACCTTTTACTTTTTTTTTTTTTTTTTGGTATCAGCGATTGAACCCAGGAGCACTTAACCACTGAGCCACATCCTCAGCCTTTTTTAAAATATTTTATTTAGACGGTTTCACTGAGCTGCTTAGGGCCTCACTATCACTGAGGCTGGTTTTGAACTTGAGATCCTCCTGACTCAGCCTCCTGAGCCACTGAGATTACAGGCATGCACTGCCATGCCCAGCTGAGAGTCCTCATTTCTTTTTTTCTTTTCTTTTTTTAATATTTTTTAGTTATAGACAGATGCAATATCTTTATTTTGTTTATTCATTTTTATGTGGTGCTGAAAATCGAACCCAGCGCCTCACATGTGCAAGGCAAGCGCTTTGCCACTGAGCCACAACCCCCCCCCCCCCCAGTCCTCATTTCTAATAGGGGTTGTCAATGCTACTGGCCCAGGGACTACACTCTGAGTAGCAGAGTTCCTTAGTCACTCAGTCCTGTCCCTAGGGTGGTTACTAGCCACAGTAGGGATTGAACCCTTAGAATAAGGCTACTTCAGATTGGAATATACTGAAAGCATAAAATATAAACCAGATTATTAAGACTTGATAAGGAAAATAAATGTAAAATCTCATCAATTGTTTTCATATGGTTTACATGTTGATATGTTACTTTAGATATAATGAATTAAATAAATTATTCATTTTATCTGCTTCCTTTTGCCTTTTTAATGTGGCTATTAGGAAATTTAAAATCATATATGTGGCTCAGATGCCATGTCTGTTGACTAGAGCTCCACTAAAAAGAGGTAATCCTTGAAGTCAATGAGGCTGGCACTCTGACCACACTTCATTTCCACTTAGGGTGAGAACTAGAGCAGCCTATCTACACCAGAGAGCACAGGAGACTTCCCTCATGGGTCCTTGGACTCCACTTTCCCTCAGGCCCTCAGGGGCAGGTCATGGCAAGTGGTATTGATGCGTGTGTCCTTGGGCAAGGGCATCTGGGATGGACCCAGTGGGGTTTGCTCAGGGAAAGAGGAAATTCAGAAACCACAGAGTCCCTCAAGCTAGCCAGTGTCATTTCCTTGCTCATTTTTGTTTGCACAATTGCCTGAAGCAGAAAGTGCCACCATGCTTTTCCACTTCCTTAATCCTCCTTGCATGCAGCCACCCAGCTAACCTCTCTGTGCTGAGGTTCAACAACCCTGCGCTGCCAGCCTCAGTCCAGAGCCCTGTTGAAGCCTAAATTCCTGGGACCCTGGTCATCCCTGAAAAAACCTCAAAGGTCTTGTCTCACTAATTTGTTCTTCTTTCCAGATGTGCATCTTGTTTTTCCCATTCACTTAAATTATTCCTTTTCTGCTTGCATCTCTTTCTCTTGCTTTTGGTTCACCCTGCCCATTACACCATCTTTTAGAACCCACCTCAGGGCCATCTGCCTCCAGAGGCCCTATCAAGGCATTTGGCCCACAGAGGCCTGTCCTTGGGACTTGTAAAACTTGCTGCTGGGGGCTCGAGCAGCACAACTGCTGCCGGGGCTCTGCTGTCTGATTTTGAGTCACTCAGGTTCTTGCTTTGTGTCTTTATTCTCCCATTGGGTCTTAATTTCCTTGAGGACAAAACCATGCTTGGTTTACCTTCCTATTCTGCCTTGGTTTAGACCAATACAATAAGCAGCTCCTCCAAAAATGAGCTTATGAAATGAAATGGTATTGGGAAACAATACTTTTATAAATGTGTATTATCAGTGATTACTTTTATAATGATGTGTTCTTAAAAAAAAACATGATGGAAAACTAAGCTTTAATCATTTCTTAGGGACCCAGTGGCTTTGGTTTTTACTTTCTATATTAACAATTGAAAAAAAAAACACTTTATTTTTAGATACTTATAGATTTGAAAGAAATTGCAAAGCTATTCCAGAAGAAGATCCTATATCCTTCTCACAATTTCCCCAGTGAACGAATGTAACTGTAGAACAACATCAAGACCAGGAAGGTGATATTGGTAGAATATGCATGTGTAGCTCTGGGCCATCTTATCACATGGGTAGATTCTGTCACACCACAAACTCCCTAACATTTACAACTGTATAGCTCTGCTTGGGCCGTCTATTCATTCCACCCTCCCCTCCTTGATGAGCTCTAGGCCCTGGCACTTCTGATTACTTCTCCATCTCTGTAATTTGGGTTTATTTGCAGTGTTGTAAGAGTGTCTCTGTGTATAGGATTTCATAGCTCTGGGCAGAACATTCCCTGTAGCTAATGTGTCACAGTTCTACCTGTGTTGACAGTAGAACAGTTCACTGGGATAAGAAGGCCTGTGCTCCCTTTGGGCTACTTGACTCTCCCCACTTATCATGTAACCATCTTAAATATTTTCCCTACACGATTTGAAGGCACATCACAATGCACAGTGCTTAAGACAGGGGACCTGGTAGAGTTTGATCTTCTGAAGAAGGAGGACATTCTGGGAACCCCACAATCATTTCCTTTGCCTTTTTCATTAATGAAGTTGCCCAAGGCAGAAATTTTCACTGCACTTCTCCTGTTTCTTATCTTGCACTCAACTGCTAACTAGTCTTTTGGATTGAACAGTATACAGCCCCAAACTGAAAAGTAGACATAAAATAGACTGAAAAGAATTAACAAGTAGAACTTCCAAACATCTAGGAAAGCAAAGGGCTTTGGACTTGCCCCTATTTTTTATTATTTCTTTAGTTATTCTTTCTTGATGTTTTAAGATTCCTCCTCTTATCTTTTCCAAGAAATTCTGATAGCCCTTCTCTTAGGAAATCTTGCAGATTTCCATCTGAGAACGTCTTGATATCCTCTTCTGAAGACTGTTTTCACTGGATGAAGGATTTTTTTTTTTTTTTTTTTTGGAGAGGGGTGAAGGATTTTGAGTGACAGTTCTTTCTTCCCAGCACTTGTTAAACCCCTGCTTTCTCACCCCTACAGCTGCTGAATGGAAACCTGAGGTTGTTCAAATATTTCTAAGATCCCATTTGTCCTGACTGCTTTCAAGATATTGTTTTCTTTGTCTTTGGTCTTCAAAGCTGGACTCTGATATGTCTTGGTGTGGATTTCTTTGGCTTCATTATGGATGGGGTTTGCTCAGTTTCTTGATTTATGCTTTTTGTCATTTTTGTAGTTTCAACCATATCTCCTTGAATACTTTTTTATTAGTTGCTGATGGACCTTTATTTATTTATATGTAGTGCTGAGAATCAAAAGCAGTGCCTCACACATGCTAGGCAAGCGCTCTACCGCTGAGCCACAACCCCAGACCCTTGAATACTTTTTTTAGCTCAAATTTCTTTTCCTCTCCTTTCAGATTTGGGTGGCATACAAACTAGTTCTTTTTTGTACACACTCTGCTAATTATTTTCCAGCCTTTTTGTTCAGGTTGGGTGCTCCTGGTTCTGCATTCTGCCCTGTTGAGATTTGAGCCCAAGAGGAGGAGGGAGCCTCTGCCCAGCCCTCTGGAACCCACCCAACCAGCCAGCCTCTCTTACTGGTGAGAATGCTACCCAGCTTACTGCTTCCAAACTCCTTTCCTGAGTGTGTGTACACACACACATACCCACATATACACACCTTCCCAAAATAGAATATTTTTATTATAAACCCAAAATAGAGAAAGATAAATGACAAACACAGGCATTTCCCAGATCTCTTTGAAATTCTCACAAATTATATGAAAAAGGGGTGGATAATGCTTTCTTGAAATTGCTGTAAAATTCCCAATATCAATGGGAGGACAGGATTCTTGGAATCCTGTGGGAAGGCACCTTGCCCCAGCCTGGCCAAGGTGGAGCAGAGAAGTGATTTTCTATTATTTTAGGGCCTTGGGGTCTGTCCTTGAGCACAGAGAACTGGGACCATGACATTTTCTCCCTCATAGAGAATTTGAGGGGAAGGTACAAACCACCTTGGGAGGAAGAAAATGTCCGTGCCTGCTATGCCAGTCCAAGGAGCTCTCCTACTCTGTCTGCCCTTCATTGAAACGCTGGCACCTTGGACCCTTTCCAGACTTTGGTTTTAAAGAGAAAAAAGGAATCAAGAGCACCCATTCTTGTCCGGGGAGATGGTCAGACCCCCTTGAAGGTGGAACTTTCCCATGCAGCTGTCCCTGGGAGCTGCACCAAAGAAACATGTACATGTAGGTACCTCTGTGGGTGAGAGTGTATGAGTCAACTTGTATGTGCTCATGTGGGGAAGATTAGGAGTGGCTGTGTGCCCACAAATTTTGGGGAAGGATGTTCTTATGTGGCTTCTGTTTGTTGGCAAACAAAGCAATAGAAATATAGAAAGATAGTGGGAAAACTCTCTGTGGGTGACCCAGGAAGGAAGGTTCTCTGTTGACATGACCCTGGTGACTCAACCCCAGAGGCCTATCTGATGATATGTCAGAGGCCAGGATGCCAACCCAGGTCAAGAAGAACTGAGGAGACCTGACAGGTGTCTGGATGAGTAGAAGTGAAAAGCAGCACCAGCTGTTCAGGATGGTCTTTTGGAGCAGAAGCTTGGGGGAGTCAAAGATGTAGCTGAGAGAAGACCCATTAGAAGCAGGCTCAAGGCGGGATCTGTTAGAAGGAGTAGCCAGCTTCCTCAACTGCCCTACAGAGAGGAGGAAGGGGGTTGTGAGGTGGTGAATAGACATCACAGTGGAAGCAGCTGCCCCAGCAGGCGCATGGTCCCACTGGTGGCCAGCATGTGGTCTAGCAGCAGTCAGCTCTTTCTCAGCCAAGATCATCTCCTCCAAGAGAGCCAGAGCAATACTCAACCTTTTCCTGCAGTGGTTTGAACACAGCTCCCACCAAAACTCCACATTGTACTGCTCAGGTAGAGAAAGTGAGGTGGAAGATGTGTGAATGGCTCAGAGGTGACTTGGCTGCTACTCTTCTTACTTACTCCTGAGCAGCTGGTGCTGCTTTTCACTTCTCATCCAGCTGACCTTGGTTTACACTGTCCTGGCGGATAACTCAGCAAGTGAAGGTACCAATCCTAGTGGTGGTTCCATCAGGACAGAGAGGTGGTGTCCACATGATGTCTGATTAGTGCAGATGTATCTGTGGAGTTGGCACCTCTAGGAACAGAGAGTCAAGTGGAGCACAGATTCCTCCCACAATCCCAGGAAGAGGCACCAGCAGAAGCACATGGACAGGGAGACAGATGGAGGCACCCCAGGGATCTTAGAGTCATCTTCAGGGCAGGGACAAGGCCCTGGCAAGGCGTGTCCAGAACCAGGACTGGGTGCAGGGGTTGGTGTAGTCACAGACAGTGATGAACCGCAGGATGCTGGGGAACTCCTTCTTCATTGCCTTGTACTTGATGGGGATAAGGCGCTTCTGATGGGCACCTGTAAGCAAGTGTTACAGCACTTTCACCAGGCCCTTGGCCCAGTCAAGGGATAACATCAGACCACCCCCAGTTAAATACATAACACCTATTTACTCACACAAAGGCACAGGGATGCACACAAGCTCAGGTGTGCAGAGACCTGCATCTGGCCAGGGCAGAACTAAGCTTACCTGGGGAGAGGCTGAGTGCAAACTTGGTCTGGAAGTCACATTCCTTGCTCTGCAAGTAATCATCTGACACAACCACCACCATCCGGCGACACCTAAGGGAGAGTGGGCAGGCTGCACATACTATGGTAACTTACTTGAGCGTATTCCCAGGGGGCAGCCTCAGAGGAGGGCCATTGTGACCACGGTAAACAGGGCCAGCTGGCAGGAAAAGCCCAGCATCTGGACCTTTGAGCAAGTCGTCATTCACCCACCCACCCACCCACCCAATATTGGGCCCTAGTCAACCTCTTTTCGATGAGTTCACTAGCGATGGACCAGACACAGGTGCCTGGCAGAACATCACGATCAGACACACACAACTTCAGCCGATATTCTGTCTGTTCTAGTTGCCGGATCATCTCCTGCACAAACTGGATATCGCTGGGGCAGTAACAGATGAAGGCATCAAAACGCTCAGGTACTTTCCCTGGGAGCAGAGCACAAGGTGATGGTCAGAGCAACAAAGAAGTTGTGAAGGAAACCAGCCAAGAGTTCATTGCCCAGGCAACCTAGTCCTGGACTCCACACCCATCCCAAGATGACATGACTCAGAGAAAGTGCCTTTCTCAGGAGAGGACAGGTGAGGCCCTGGGGACCAAGCCCTGGGTTAACCATCATTTCATGAGAGTCTCTGAGCAACATAGTGGTAGAACTAGTAGTAGCCCCATGTTTTCAGTGGGAAAACCAAATCTCAGAAACCAAGACTTGCCCAAGGACTCACAGCCCATCTGCTTCCAACATCCATGCTCTGCATATTACACTGTCCTGTGGCTGTGGCCCACCTGTCTGCCTGTGCCACAGGAATAGTATTGGGCCCTTACCCATGGGGTCATCAAGTGTGGTGATGCCTGACAGCTCCTCTGTCCGTGGTACACTGCTGTCTACTCTGGCCACCTGTAAGGGCTTCTCAGATTCCTGCTCTTGCTGCTTCAAAATGTACTTCTTGCAATCCTCCTCTGTAGGAGAGAGACAGGGTATGTCAGGTTTTCCAGCCCTCCACCCACAGACAGGATCTAGCCTGTCTCACCTCTTTGGCTTTTTTGGAGTCTAGGCCTCCAGCTGCTGGAGCCATAGGCGGCTCCAGTGCTCTGGCAAGCTATGCATGCACACATGCACTCGCCCCCCACCACACACCACCAGAGCTTTGACTCTCCAAAAAGGATATTGTGGAGCTCTGGCCTTGTGGGAAGCCAGCAGCATCCCCTGACCCTTGTCCTTGATCCCCTTCTAGGGCTCCTGAGAATGGAATGAAGGTCTTTTTTCAGGATCCAGGGCAGATGTGAGAAGGGGGATGAGAGCATGTGAGGAGGGTTGAGAACCCAGGGTTATGGTGCAGTGATGGCAGTGACCCCAACCCAGCAATGTATGCCTGTCTGGGCAGCTGGACCTCCTGTGCAATACATTATAAGAGTGCCAGTGAGTGGCAGAGGAGTTCTTTTCCCAGGCACCTGAAGTTTCTAGACCATCAGCTTCCAGTCCCTCGGTTGTCCTGTTGCCCTACCTGACACAGCTCAGAGGCTCCAGTGCAGCCTCAGACTAACATCTGGCCCAACCTGAGAGCCTCTGCTAAGTTTTGCCCCCATCTTCTTTGCCTCCCAGGGCCTTTGCCGCATTTCCTCTATCCTTATCTTGTCAGAGATACTGACAAGGGACCTGATCATCTCCCTCTGTGAACTTTTCCAGCGCCCGGAGCCATCCCACAGGCTGCTGAGGCCTGAGAAAGTCAGCCTCCCACACCCTGGATCCAAGGCCTCACCGATGCTGGGCCGAAGCTCCACCAGCACGTCTTCACGGCCCAGCGTGGAGAGCAGCTCCAACAACCGCCCTACGGAAGCGCCAGGGCGGCCCTGCCAGGCGTCCAGCAGGCTGCCGGTTGGGTCTGGGCGCGCCTCAAACTGCCGGATCTCCAAATACTCGAAACCCATCTCCTCAGCCAGAACGGTCCAGTCGGCGGCCACCTGTGTCCGCGCATTCAAGAAAAGCGACAGGCGGCGCCGCACTCGCACGTTGAGCGCAGCCAGGGGCAGCGAGGATGTAGAAATGGCCGGGGGTGCAGACTCATCACTGGGGACTCCTGAAGACATGACAGGGTCGTCCTGGAGGATCCTTGGCTCTGTAGGGTCGCGTTGCATGTCCCACTTCCTCCTTCTACGGCTCCCTTCCCTCGTCGCCCCAGCTGCTTTCGCTTTTTGAGAAGCGCCGCCCTGCGGTAGAATCTGAAGGCCCACGCAAGGGTGCCAAGTTGGAGCGCCCCACCCCTCACTTGGAGACTTAAGGGCGGTGAATATAGGAATCCAGAACCTGCCCTTTGAGTCTCTTTCTTCTTTCTCTTTTTTTCTTTTCTTTCTTTTCTTTCTTTCTTTCTTCCTTCCCCTCCCTCCCTCCCTCTCTCTCTCTCTCTCTCTCTCTCTCTCTCTCTCTCTCTCTCTCTCTCTCTCATACTGAGGGTCCAAACCAGAGCCTCTCCTATGCTAGGAAAGCGCTCTACCACTGAGCTATATCCCCAAACTTGTCCGCTTTTAATTTTGAGTCAGGGTCTTGCTAATTTGAGTGTGCTGGCCTGGAATCATCCTAGCTCAAACTCTGGAGTATCAGGGATTACAGGCATATGCCTCCATACCCAGAAGAACCTTCCCTTTGAGATCTGGATAGGTCGTCTGACTTGTCCTCAAGGGGTCAGGTAGTGGTGGTGAGTGAAAGACCAGAGAGAATGGCCCTATTTCGGGAATTGTAGGAAACTGGCCTAGCTCTATGGGATCTGATGGTGTCACATCCATTTCACTGGGGATCTAAGAGGTTCAGATGGTGCTACCCTTGAGGGTGGTGGAAGAGAAAGGGGGGGGGGTCACCAGGTCTGTTCTCCCTATTCTCTGGAGAACACACAATCCTGTCCGAAGGAGAATGGGAAGAGACCAGTTTTGCATCCCGAAGTGGCAGTGGAAAAGGACACACTGCCTTAAGTTTGAGGCAGGCTATGGCTCGGTGCTCAAAAGGCGGAGAGTTATGATTTACAAGGCGCCTGGTCCTTTGGTATCTGGGTAAAACACAGGACTACTCGCACAGGTCTCTAGTAAATGCATGGTCTTGCCATTGTCCATCAAGGAGTATTTGGTTTTACTCTTTAGTATTAGGGACACAGTACAGATCTAGGGAGCCTTGATTGGTTTCATTAATTCAACAAGTATTTATTTATCACTTACTATGTGTCAAATACATTGCAGGCGCTCTAACATAGGGTTCTCTCTACCTTGGTGTGGATGTTCTAGAGGGGAGGATGGATACTAATTAGATATTCCAAGCCATGTAAAATTGGTATCAGAATTGTGAGATGTTCTCTCTCTAGCTATAGAGCTTGTCACACTTTCGTATATTTGAAAATCCGTTCCCAGCACCGGCCAAGAATCTTAAATTGCCTAGTTCTGGAAAGACTTCCCGGGAGAGTCCGACCCCTTCGGAGTAGGATTGGGAGCATCAGAAGTATTTAGGTCCTTGGGATTGGATGCTGGGGAACAGAGCAGACTAGGACCTGGGAACTGGAATTAGAGCCCCGACCTCCTCCAACCAAAGCAAGAGGCGGGCTCCAGGTGTTCAGCCTTCTGTCTGGCGGCGGGCAGCGAGCGGGCCGTTGGAGGAAGGGGCTCCTGTTCGAGGGCCCGGTTATTTCAAGAAATTTACAAAGCTCTAGAGTCCCGCCTCGGATTTGGATACTAAAGTCTAGCAAAGGGGGTAAGTTTCCAGGCAGCATTTCTGGGCGTGGCTTCAGAAAGAACCGTACCCTGATTGGCCAAGTAGGCGGGACTTTGAATGGTTGTGCCTCTGGGTCCGGCTTGGGAGGGCCGGGAGAGAGGGGCGGTTCCGCGCTTGCGCGAGTGACTTTTTATTTCCGTTGGTCGGTCGTGAGTCCCAAAGCTGGTCTGCTTATCCCAGCGGCGTGATGTGGAGGTTACAGGTTGTTCTGGGTCATCTCACTGGCCGGCGCGAGTCCGGCCCGGCGCTGCAGGCCGCGCCGTGCTTCAGTAGCTTCCCGCAAGCCTCGGCCGCGGACGTGGTGGTGGTGCACGGACGGCGCACTGCGATCGGCAAAGCGGGGCGCGGGGGCTTCAAGGTGAGGCCCCCAGGCGCTGGCGCCTGGAGTAACACGCTGGGGGGCGGGGAGCTGTCATCTGCTAGGTGGACCCAAGGATGCGCAGGCAATGAGAACTCGAACTGCAGTCTCTGTGTCTCCCTGCGGTGGCTATATCGGGCCAGTCACCACAGCTGCGCGTCCCGTTGCAGGACACCACCCCCGACGAGCTTCTGTCAGCGGTCTTGACCGCAGTTCTACAGGATGTAAAGCTGAGGCCTGAGCAGCTGGGGGACATCTCCGTGGGTGAGTGCACCACCCAGGCCCTGCTATGGGGTCTCTTGGTCTTCCCATCCCTCCAAAGTCCTGCTCCCACGCCTCCAGTCCCAGAGCTGTCACTAAGGAGAACTATGGACTATGAACACTGACTTCGATGTGCTCTCCTCCTGATAGTAGACCCAGACACTTTGCTCTTCTTCCTCGTGTCTTCTGCTTGTTAGAGAAAAAGCAGACATCCCAAACACAGACAATCTAGGAGTTCCAGGTCATTCTGGGAGGCAGATGGGTGTTCTGAATGTGTCCTGATATCCTGTCTGTGCCAGGACAAAAGAGAATGTCAAAACCCATCTAATCCACTCCATTCTTTACAGATGGAGAGACCGAGGCCCAGTGTATTTGCTCCAGAGCTAGAACATGAACCCAGAGTCTGGACCTTCAGGCCAAACTTGATTTCCACCCACACACCTCTTCCCTTGAAATATAACAACACAGTATGTAATACTGTTTCATCCATCAGGTGCCACCACTAGGTCAGGAATCATTTTTTCTTCTCTCTGCAGAGACAGCAGGGCCTGGAGGAGGACACTAAGGGGATGTACATTTTCAGAATCTCATTTCCCTTGCCCAAGTACCAATGCTGTTGGCCTTCAGGCTTTGCTTTGTGTTTCTCTTTCCCTTCAGTCTTCCATGTTACTTGGAAGGGTAGGACACCTGCCTAGTCTGTGCTGATTTGGAAGAGCAGGGTGCATGGGCAAGTCATTTTGGAACCCTCCAGCATGGAGACTGGTATATGACCTGGACACACTGTTATATGTCTAGCTGTCCTTACTCTATACCCTGAAATTCCAGAGCATCAAGTGGGCCTGCCATAAACTCATGTTCCTAAAGAAAGATATGGAATGTTTCCTCTGGGGTACTCGGAGCTGTACTTTTTTGCCGAGACACCAACTGGCACTGAATAAAGGCTTTTCTGTCCATAGGCAATGTTCTTCAGCCTGGGGCTGGGGCTATCATGGCCCGGATCGCCCAGTTTCTGAGGTAATCTTTTCTACCACTAGCTCTGAGTTGGCCACTGTGACTAATGAGTGGGTCCTGGATCCAGGGAACTCATTCTGTGGGTGGTGGAGAATAAAATTGGATACCATGTCAAAAGATGTAGGGAAACCTGAATGCTGCTCTTGTGGACCCAACCTTTCTCCCACTGTAAGGTTGGTATGTTACTGGCTATGAGCCAAGTCCTACAGGGCTTTGGTAGTGGTTATCTGTGGCATGATTGTAACCAAAGCTAACTTGTTGCTTGTGTTTTGAAAAAGTGGACTCTGTCCTCATCTATCAGGTAAATAACCACATAAACATGCTGAAGAGTGATTCTGCTTCCTTTGCTAGTTGAGCAAGCTGGGAACTCCAGGTCAGAACCCTGGGGCAGCGAGGAACCCAGGAGGAGCCCTGGTCATCTTGCCTTTTAGCACTTTGCCTCCCACTATGGGCAAGGAGTGATTCTGTTATTTTCACTTGTAGATTTAAGACACACTTGTCTTTGTCCTTTTATTTGCATTGAGTAGAAATAGTAGGGACATTAGCCAGTGACAGAACAGGAAAACTTCTAGGAACTGGGAAAGCCTCAGACGGCTTTGTCTGCAGTTCAGTGTCTCCCACTATCTCTAGGCTAATCTTTCAGCCTCATCTCTCAACTGGTTACTCACCTTGATTTTTCCTCTTTCTTTTCCCTCCTCCTTCTCTTTTTGGCTTCTCTGCCTACTGTCCTCCCTATTCTCTTCATTCTGTGCCTGGGGAGTGTTGTCCCTCTCTCTTCCCTAGCTAAACCCTGCCTAAACAATCTTGCCGCTTAGACACTGCTTCTCCAAGTTCTCAGGCTGAAAATGAGAGACCTTCCTCTTGAATAAGAGTCTTATGCTACTCTTTGATGTGGCCTTGCCATCTGGTCCTGCTACTTCACTCTCCTCTTGTGGATTCATTTTCTGCGTGTTGGTTAAGCATCCTCTAGGAGTTCTATAAGCATCTAAGAACTTTTACTCAATAGGTATTTGGTGAAAATTTAGTGGATCGGGTAAAGAGGTAAGAATCAGGTGTAATGGAATTAGGACATCTGGGAAAGGTTCAACAGGCCTAGGAAGCCATGTACTTCTAAGGGTCCCTACAGAGTTTGGCCCAATCAGTATCTCCAGGATTACCAAGCCTGGCTGCCCATTAGAATCACCAGGATGCTCAGGGAACTCCCTGAAGTTTTAAGTGGGTTGAAGTATGGCCTGGAAATATCACTGGAGCTTTATACTGTTTGCCAAGGCAGGTTTCATTGGAAGGGCCAACTCTGTACTACCTTCCAGGGCTAAGCCCATGGTGAGACTCTTGGGAGCTCCCAGTGGATGGGATGTTAGAACAATGGTGCCTAGCAGAGCTTTTCTTCCTGGTGGGAACAGGCTTTTGGGGGAGAGAATAGAAACATAATACCCAGCCATGTGGGTACTAGTATGCTGGAAGGTAGAGATGGTTGCTGGCCTCATACTTGACCATGGCTTTTGCTCTGGTAGCTTATCCAAGCAAAAATGCCCTCTCCTTTCTACTTTTGGGGAAATAGATGACTAGTTTTTACTGTGGAATTTTTCAGCGGGACAGAAAGAAGGACTCCTGTGACCCAAACAGTCTTCCCTCTTTCTAGATTGAGGAAATTCATAGGATGGAAGGGCATGCTCTTGTAGGGCCTGGGGAACAAGTACATACAGAGACACAGTTTGCCCAGGAGCTGCCCACCCCTATCCAATGGATCTATCCTGGCATGGGCAGGTTGTTCTCAGGTTGTTCTCCTGATCTTTGCACCCTCTGATGGGGACAGTCACAGGGCCCTGGAGTACAGACCTGCTTTCCATGAGAGCCTGCAGGACAAGGGATTGACTATGCCTCTTACCCTCTGTTTCAGTGGCATTCCAGAGACTGTGCCTCTGTCTGCTGTCAATAGACAGTGCTCATCAGGGTTGCAGGCATTGGCCAACATAGCTGGTAAGTTGGGACTGGGTGGTGCCCTGGGCCAGGGCCTGGGCTTAGTCCTGTCCCTGAGGGTTACAGTCAGTGATGTCACTGTCTCCTGGACCAGCAGTAAGCATTTCTGAGAGGACTCTGAGCACAGAAAGAGTTCAGGAGCTCCCCTTGGCACTGCCCCACTCCTCTTCAGAACACTCCTGGGTCTTTATCTCTGGGACTGGACTGAATGGCACCTAGGCTGAGAGCAGGTGGGACAGGGGCTCTGCTGCTCCCAGGACAGACAAACTTTGGCTGAGGATGATTATGAAATGCTTTTGTTGCAGGTGGCATTAGAAATGGGTCATATGACATTGGCATGGCCTGTGGGTAAGAATTTCCTTCTGCCAGAGCTCCTTAACCAATGGGGATAAATTAATTTCCTTCTCCTCAGTTCTCAGAGGCCACGATTTCAGTATCATCCCCTGGCTCCTTTAGGCAGCTAGCTTGGTGTAGGTTCCTATAGATGAAACCTAGGAGTGGCCCCCAACTCTGGGTGATCAAGAATAGTTCACATCTGAGCACTAGCAGGAGAGGGCAGGTGGCTTCTAAGCTTTCTTTCTTGAAAATCTGTCAGACTGGAAACTGTGGGCACCATGTTGGAAAAATACACCACTGAGACTTCCGTCGGTGACTTTTGTTGATTCTCACTGCTACTGAAAGAGAAGTGGCAGTTTCAATTCTCTAAACCTAGGGACAGTTCCTACTGTATGTCTATTCCTTTTCCTATGATGTCTTTATCTCTCCCCTGATACCAAGATGGAAACTTCTAATTGCCCACCACGTTTTCAGGGACATAGTCAGATCTCAGGTGATTTGGTCACTGTCACCTTTACCTAGACTGTGACTCTATCTTTACCTGTAGCACATCAAGCGCTAGAAATTTTGGGTAGAGCCTCCAAGGAAGGGCAGGGTGCTATATCCCTGGCTGGGGGCTTCTGATGCTGGGTGGGCAGGCTGGTGAAGACACTGGCAGGCTGAGGTGGTGACCAGCCCTGGTTCTGATGTCTTTCCATTGTCTTTCAAATCCTCTCTAGAATGTTTTTTGATGAAAAGTATTGCTGGTCCCTAACTGGGTCCTAGCTGACCTGCACTGGGTTGCCCCAACTTATATCTCAAAGAGAGCAAAGACTAGAAGAAATAGGGACTTTATTATGACATAGGTCACTGCCCAGCCTGCCTTTTGATGTGTTTCTTGTTACACTCTTACTGGGGAGAGAGCAAGTTTGGAAACTTAGGAGAAGGACTAAAGCCTTAATGAGTTCCATAGGGGGCTTCTGATTCTTAAGCAGCATAAGTATTCTCGCGCTTGCACAATACCCATATCACAATCTGACAGTCCCCAAGGGCTTGAACATTCAGTGTTGCCTAGGGCATCCTAGGTAGAAGGGAGTTCCTGGAATAAGCTGTATAAATTCGGGTCCAGGCTGAATGACCATGGGCAAATTACTTATTTCTCTGGACCTCAGTGTCCTCAGCTATAAAAGGGGGTACTATCTGAGCTTGGCCAATGCTTATAAGAATATTAAATGAGGTCAGGTATGGTGGCATATGCCTATAATCCCAAAGACTCCCGGTGACTTCAGAGGCCGAGGGAGGAGGATTGTAAGTTTGAGGCCAGCTTCAGGTACATAGTTAGACCCTGTCTCAAATTAAAAAATAAAAAGGGCTGGGGCTAAGCACAGTGGTACACACCTGTAATCCTGGCAACTTAGGGGACTGAGGCAAGAAGATCACAAGTTGGAGATCAGCTTCAACAACACAGCAAGACCCTCAGCAACTCAGTGAGACCCTGTCTCAAAATTTAAAAAAATAAAAAGATCTGGGAATGGAGCTCAGTG